TGAGAAACAAAAATTTACATATGATTTTAGAATGAAAAACGAAAATCTGATAAATTTTAATAGTTTTGTGAGAATAATTTTTGTGTGTATAAGTTTAGGTGAGCTAGTTACAATAGAAAAATCAATTAGTTTTCTTAAAAAAAATTTTGGGCTAAATTTAAGATTTTTTGTGATATTAATTTTTATGGATATAAGTTTTAGTAGGCTAAATTAGTGGAATAAATGTTGATAAATTTTGCTATGTCACATTTTTTAGAATGTCATACCACAATAAATTTTAGGAGAGTGATTTTAGAGAAGACACCTATTTTGTTTTGGAAAAATCACTTCCTAAATAAATGTATAAGGGATGAATATTTTTAAAATAATATACTTTGTATCTTAAAATTTGAGAAAAAGTTATTTGATAAGAATTCACTTTTTTTTCTTCATCTCCTACGTTTTTCACCTTTTACCATTTTCATCTTTTGATTTTTCTGTATAATAAGGTTAAGACATGATAAAAACCACTCATTAATTGGTCAAAATAATTTCCATAGCTTCACATATTTTTTTTTTGTCAAATTTCAATATGCAGAAAAATTAATAATTAAAAGTTTATTAAATATGTAATTAAAATTTTTTTTTATAGTTGAATCACAAAATGCGTACATAGTTATTGGTTGGTCAACATAATGTTCATAGCTTTACGTATTTTTTTAAGGTCAAATTTCAATATGCACAAAAAGTAATAATTAAAAGTTTTTAGTTTTGTAATTAAAAGAATTCGTTTTTAATAATTGAATCACATTATGGCATATATAGTTTTCATTGATTTCAAATTAAATTGTTAAAGAAAAATAAATAAATTTAGTTATGGTAAGATTTGGAGTAGATTTTGTTATGATTAATTTCAATAATTTCCTTAAAATTTTGCCCTTTTCAAGCCATGTCATAATTCTTTTGTGAAAGTGATTGTGAGAATGACACATAAGCTTTTTCTCCAAAATCATTTCACAAATAATGTATAAGAGATGATTACATTGTCCTATTTATATTATTCACTTCAGTAATAACCCAATTAGATAGCTATAAAATACATTAACAATTAGAACAATATACTACTGTTGGATGGCTAACAAATTACTTTTCTTGTCAAAATGCTCAAAATTTGATCTTAAACGGTAAAATATTTATTATCCATATAATTCTAATGTGTTACTTTCCTCGTCAAATTACTCAAATCGTATCATAGATGAAAAATACGAAAAAATCGTTCCTCGGTTAATTAAATTTATTTGAAGAAACATAAATCTTTATTATGATGTCTATTTTCAATCTTGATTTCATCAATAAAGAGCTATAGAACCCAACATCGATATTTGGTCTTAAGCTTTGGGAAATCGATCTCTTATAGTCATAGTTCTCTTATTTTTTTATCTCTTTGTCTAACCTCTCACCGGAGAAACTAAAGACCACGTCACGCTTATTTCGAATCAGCTGCATAGCAACTCCGCCAATTTTCAAAGAATTCAAGGGATCTCTCCTCGTCCTCCGGCACAAGACCATTACCATCTTATGCAGCTTGTTGCGGCGGAGATCCATATCGGAAAGATCGAGCACTGTGTGTGGTGTTCTCAGATCGAGTCTTGAGTGGTGAATGCAGAGGAACAATGACTCCTACTGAAACAGCGACGTTTTCATAGAGTGGTTGCGTGTTGGATCAAAGGTTTCTCATATTGGTTAGGGAAGATGATTACACACTGATAGAGCTTAAAGTTGTGACTAATGGTTTATGTAAAAAGAATGTGATCGAAGAAAGAGGTTATGAGATAGAGAGAGATGAAAGAGATTGTATATAGTTAAATATATGTATGTGTGTAGTAAACACCGTTGATTTTTTCTAATATATCTAAAGAATGGACAATAGTGTGATAGAGGTTATATCATAATTATGAAAACTGCGTTGTATTTGATACAATGTTTAGTTTGATTGCAAATTATGTTATAATTCTTTGTCATAGAATAATAAAAAAATATACAAACTATGTTAGCAATGTTTTTCAAAGAAAGAAAAAAAATATACAAATATACACCAACTA